GTTGTTGTTGTTGTTAAACAGAAAGGTAAGTTATAAAGATATCATGCTAAAAATTTTATAAATTCTAAAATAAAAATGGAGGCTGCTCCCCAAAGTTACAGTAACTTAGGCAGTGGTTTTAACAAACCACTTGGCAGATTACTTATGAAGACTTGAAATATCTACCTAAATCTGAGAGGTGGGAACTACCATTATTGAAAACCTACTATGCAACACCATGTGCTGGATTCCTTACATACATGATCTCATTTAATCCTCACAATTACTATATGAGGTAGGAAACTGGTGCCCGAAGAGTTAGTGTAACAACCTGTAGTCATGTAACAAGTAAGTGGTGACCTCAGGGTTTGAATCCAGGCCTGGTGCCCCTCCTCTCCTTAACAGTATTGCTCAGTCAAGTCTACTCATCATCCCCTGTCTACTTTTTCCAATTGCCCCTAGTAAACCCTTCCCACCCTACAATATCTCCCAAAGTGAGATTCTCAACCAGGTTAATTTTAAGAAGTATTATTGGGGGCCGGCCCCGTGGCTTAGCGGTTGAGTGCGTGCGCTCCGCTGCCGGCGGCCCGGGTTCGGATCCCGGGTGCGCGCCGAGGCACCGCTCCTCCAGCCATGCTGAGGCCGCGTCCCACGTGCAGCAACTGGAGGGATGTGCAGCTATGACAGACAGCTATGTACTGGGGCTTTGGGGGAAAAATAAATAAATAAAATCTTTAAAAAAAAAAAGAAGTATTATTGTGTCTCCACTTGAAAGCCCAGCTAAGTCAATCAATTTTTTGGAACCTCCCATGTGCTTGGTGCCATGGGAGATATAAGAGAAGTTTAAGATGTGGTCCCTGCTTCTGATAAACAGCTGAGAAGTCTAGGTGAGGAGACAAAACTAACCCCCTTAGACACGTCAGGATATAATAAGGGCTGATGCTATGTAGAAGAAGCAGGAGAATAAGACTTTAGGGTGACTGCTTTCAGAAGGCTGAGAGGATTTGAATAAGTAGGAATGGAGAAGTGCTCATAAGCAAGGGCAACTCAGATGGGAGAGGGGCCAGGGGCAGATTGCAGGTTCCCTTGAATTTCAGGCTGAGTAGTCCATATCGGATACAATATAGTGGGAGTCATTCTAGGTTCTGGAATTAGAACATGATATGATGCCGTGATATTTGGATGGATCATGGCGTTATTCCAAGAGTGAGCCTGCAAGGGCCTGGACTAGAGCAGTGGTGGTAGGATACTCCCTCTCCTATTCCTCCTGAAGGCTGAGAGCTGTTAGGAAGAGAGTATCAACAGCACTTGGACGTAGGTCATTTATAGGGGATCAAGGAGAGAGGAAGAAGTAAAGAGGACCCTGAGGTTTCCAGCCTGGATACCAACTGGGATGGGGAGCCATTGGGGGGGGGGCAGTTTTATAGAAACATATACTTGATGTGTTCTGTTTTGATATGTTGAATTTGAGGTATGATACGCTATCTCAGTACATCTACATGGAAGAATTTGTTGCAGTCAATTAAAAAGAAATTTTTAAAGATAATTTGATGACGTGAGAATATGCTCATGATAACAATGTTAAGTGATAAAAACAAGATACAAAATTATTTAATACCATATAATCTCAATTTTGTAAATATACGTGTGTGTAAATATATGTGTGTGTGTGGGTATGCACAGAAAAACACTAGAAGGAAATACACCAAAAATGCTAACAATAGTTATCTTTGGTGGTAGGATTGGAATTATGGGTAATTTTTTATTTCTTCTTTATTCTTTTTCTATATTTTTCAACATTTCTACCATGAATGTGTATTGCTTTTATAGCCAGAAAAAAGTAATACATGTTTGGGTTTTTTTTGAGAAGAAGACAATAATCTTATATCAGACCTTATGTCCAGATTTTTGGTTTATGGAATCTGGTCACTGCACCTGCACACAGCTGGAAAAATAAGGGACTGAAGAGTGAGTATTTTAAATGTCTCAGGTACTGTTTCCTTTCTTAGGTGCTCTAGTAACTCTAGAGTGCTTCCATTTGTCTTGAAAAGCAGATCCTCCCCTGACTAACGATGTAAAGCCTCTCCTGTCTAGTAGAAGGGCAGAAAGGTCCTCCCTACGACCACCTCCCTTTCCAAAATTCTCATTCCCTCCATCCAAGGCAACTGTCTCAGTCTCAGTCTTTCTGGGTTTTCTCTTCTGCTCCATTAATCTGTGTATATGTTCTTCCTCACAGTCTTGATTACTGTAGCTATATAATAAACCTTAAAGTCAGAGAAAGTGATTCCTCTTACTTTCTTCTTTTTCCAAATTGATTTGCTATGCTAGTTTCTTTGCATTTACATATAAGCTTTAGAATAGTCTTGTCTATATCTACAAAAAATCTCGATGTGATTTTGTTAGGAATTGTGTTAAACCTGTATATCAATTTGAGGAGAACTGACATCTTTATTATGCTGAGTCTTCTAATCCATGAACATGGTATGCCTTTCCATTTATTTAGATATTCTTTTATTTCCTTCATCAACACTTTATAATTTTCAGCATGCAGATCCTGAACAGGTTTCATACCTAAGTTTTTCTTTTTTTGAGTTATTGTATTTTTCATTTTAGTTTCCATGTGTTCATTGCTAGTATATAGAAATACAATTGTTATATATTGCGCTTATATTCTGTGACCTTGCTGAACTAGTTTATTAGTTCTAGGTGTTTTCTTGTAGATTCCTTAGGATCTCCTACATAAATCACCATTCATCTGCAAATAGAGACAGTTTTATTTCTTTCCAATCTGTATGTTTTTTTGTTTCCTTTTCTTGCCTCATTGCACTGGCTTAGACTTCCAGTATTATGTTAAATAAGAGTGGTGAGAGCAGACATCCTTGCCTCGTTCCAAAACAGAGGGAAAACATTCAGTCTTTCACCATTAAGTATGATGTTAGCTATAGGTTTTTATAGATTTTCCTTATCAAATTGAGGCAGTACCTCTCCATATTCCTAGTTTTCTGAGAGTTTTTTTCAGAAATGGGTGTTGAATTTTGTTAAATGCTGTTTCTGCATCAGTTGATACTAATACTGATATATATGTAGTTTTTCTTTAGCCTTTTAGTATGGTAGGTTACATTGATTGATTTTCAAATATTGAACCACCTTTATATACCTGGAATAAACCCCACTTGGTCATGGTGTATAATTTTTATATATATTGCTGAATTCTATTTGCTAATATTTTGTTGAGGATTTTGCATCTATATTCATGAGGGATATTAGTCTGTAGTTTCATTTTTTGTAATGTCTTCATCTGCTTTCAGTATCAGGACAAGGACTGGCCTTGTAAAATGAGTTCAGAAGTGTTCCCTCCTCTTCTGTTTTCTGCAAGAGATAGTGTAGAATTGGTGTTAATTCTCCTTCTTAGTAGAATTCTCCAGTAAGACCATCTGGGCCTGGAGATGTCTTTTTCAGGAGATTTTTTTCATTTCTACTTTGATACCATTGTGGTCAGAAAACATGCTCTGTATAATTTCAATTCTTCTCAATTTGTTGAGCTTTGTTTTATGGTCTAGTATGTGGTCTATCTTACTGTATGTTCTGTGAGTACTTGCTGTTATTTGATGGAGTGTTCTATTTTTTTTTTTTTTTAAAGATTTTATTTATTTTATTTTTTCCCCCCAAAGCCCCAGTGGATAGTTGTATGTCGTAGCTGCACATCCTTCTAGTTGCTGTATGTGGGACTCGGCCTCAGGATGAACGGAGAAGTGGTGCCTCGATGCGCACCCGGGATCCGAACCCAGGCCACCAGCATCGCAGCGCGCGCACTTAACCACCAAGCCACAGGGCCGGCCCCTGATGGAGTGTTCTATTGACGTCAATTAGATCCTATTGATTGATAGCATTATTGAGTACTATATCCTTGCTCATTTTCTGTCTGGTTGTTCTATTACCAATTGCTGAGGGGGGGTGTTGAAGTCTCCAATTCTAATTGTGGATCTATCAATTTCTCCTTGTAGCTCTATCAGTTTTTGCTTCATGTATTCTAAAGCTCTGTTGTTTGGTGCATACACATTTAGGATTGCTATATCTTCTTGGTAGATTGGCCCTTTTAGGATTATGTGACATCCCTCTCTGTCCCTGGTAATTTTCTTTGCTCTGAAATCTACTTTATCTGATATCATAATAGCCACTCCTACTTTCTTTTGATTAATATTTGCATGGCATATATTATTCTATCCTTTTACTTGCAACCTACTTACATCATATTTGAAGTGAGTTTCTTATAGACAGCATATAGTTGGGTCATTTTTTTAGCCACTCTGCCAATCTTTGTCTTTTAATTGGTGTCTTTAGATCATTTACATTCAATATAATTTTGATATGGTAGAGATTAAATCTGCTATTTTATTTGTTGTTTTCTCTTTTTTCCTTCTGTTCTTTGTTTCTCTGTTTTCTTCTTCCTCCTTTACTGCTGGTGACTTATACCTTTGTTCAAATTCCCTTTTGATTCATCTGTAGTGGTTTTGATTGTATCTCTTTGTATAGGCTTTTTAGTGGTTGCTCTGGATATATATTATATTATACATATCACAGTCTACTGGTGTCAACATTTTATCAGTTTGAGTGAAGTGTAGAAATCTTACCTACTTTTAAGTCCCTTTCCACTCCACCATTTATAATTGTCTTAAATATTTCCTCTACATATATTTAGAACTACATCAGACAGTGTTATAATTTTTGCTTCAATAATCAAACATAATTTAGAAAACCCCAGAGAATAAAAATCTATTATATTCATATTTTTACTCTTTTCATTGTTCTTTCTTCCTTCCTATGTTCCAATATTCCTTCTTCTATCATTTCTTTTCCATTTAAAAAACTTCCTTTAGCTATTCTTCTAGGGTAGGTCTGGTGGCAACAAATTCTGTTTTCCTTCCTCTGAGAATATCTTTATTTCTCCTTCATTCCTGAAGGATATTTTCACTGGATACAGAATTCTGGATTGGCAGTTATTTTCTTTCAGCACCTGAAAAATGTTGTACCACCTCCTTCTGGCCTCCATGGTGTTTGATGAGAAAACCACTGTCATTTGAATCATCTTTCCCTTATAGGTAAGGCTTTGTTTCTGTTTTGCTGCTTTCCAGATTTTCTTTTTCTTTAGTTTTCAGAAATTTGATTATGATGAGGCTTGGTGTGAATTTCTTCAGGTTTATCTGGTTTAGAGTTCAGACACCTTCTTGAATCTGTAGGTTTATGTCTTTTGCCAAATTTGAGAAATCTTTAGCCATTATTTCTTCAAATACTTTTTCAGTCCCACCCCCTTTCTCCTCTCCCTCTGGGACTTTGGTGACATGAATGTTAGATCTTTTATCATAGTCCCATGTGGTCCCTGAGGTTCTGCTCATTTTTTCAGACTAATTTTTTTTTGTTTAAATTGGGTAATTTCTATTGTTCTGTATTCCAGTTTACTGACTCTTCCTCTGGCCCCTCCATTCTACTGTTGAGCCCATCTGTTGAGTTTTTTATTTCACTTACTGTATTTTTCAGTTCTAAAATTTCCATTTAGTTTTTCTTTATTTCTTCTGTTTCTTTTTTTTTGCAAGGGAAGATTCACCCTGGGCTAACATCTGTTGCCAATCTTCCTCTTTATTTTTCCTCCCTGATTTCTTCTGTTTCTTTACTGAGACTTTATTTTTTCATTTGTTTCAAGCATTTTCACAATTGCTCATTAAAGTATTTTTATGATGACTACTTTAAACCCCTTGCCAGATATTTCCAACATCTGTGTCATCTCTAGTTGGCATCTGTTGATTGTCTTTTTCTTATTCAAGTTGCGAGTTTCCTGTGCTTGGTATGAGTGATTTTCTATTGTATCCTGAACACTTTAGATACTTTTATGAAACGCTGCATCTTATTTAAATCTTCTGCTTTAGTAGGCTTCCTCTGACACTATGCTGGCAAGGGAGGGGGACACCACCCCATTACCTCCAGGTGAAGGTAAAAGTCTACATTCCCCACTCAGCTGCCATTGACAGCCTGTGCAGAAGAGGGGAACCTCATTACTGCTGGGCAGGCATGGAAATTCAGGTTCCCTACTAGACCTTCACTGATACCACCCTGGCCAGGAACAGGAGTGGCACCTTGTTACTGCTCCCCATGTGGCCTCTTCCAACACACTGGTGGGTGGGCCTCCTTACCATTGAGCAGGGATGAAAGTCCTAGCTCCCTACTCTGCCTTCTCTGATGCTACCTTGGTGGGGTGGAAGGGGGTCCTGGTTACTGCTGGGCTAAATTTTTATTTTCATGTTTCATTGATTCAGCAAGCATGTATTTTGTGTTAATATGTGCCAGGCACTATTCTAGGCACTGGCGATAGAGATGTAAATAGGACAGGTAAAGGCCTTGCCCATCATAGAGCTTACATTCTAGTGGGGAAGATAGACAATAAGCAAATAAATAAATATTTAATGTTAGTTACTGATAAATTCGGTGGGGGTGCTGTTTTAGATAGGATGGTCAGTAAAGGCCTCCCTAAGGAAGTGATATTTGGAAATAGAGCTTAATGAAGTAAGGGAAGGAGTTTTGCAAAAATTGGGGTGAAGAACATTCTAGAAGAAGGGAAGAGCAGAATCAAAGACCCCGAGACAAAAATGGATTTGGGGTGTTTAATGTATATGTTTTAATGTGTATTAGAAAAAATTATAACTATCACATCAAACTCTTTGATTTCATAGATATCATTGCTTAGCATGAGGTTAAGTTAAGGAAAAAAAGAGTCTGTGTAAGAGAGGTTTCCACATAAGTGGTATGTGAATATGGTGAAAATCTAGACAGTATTGAAGTTTGGGAAGCAAATCTGTCTCTGAGGTAGATAATGTTATTAGCCCCATTTAACAGATGAGAGAACTGAGGCTTAGGGAGATTGATTAGCTTGTACAAGATCACATAGCAAGCACCATGTCTGACTAGGCAAGAGAAACAATAGAAAAAAATAAACAAATGGGACTACATCAAACTAAAAAGCTTTTGCACAGCAAAGGAAACCATCAACAAAACGAAAAGACAACTTAACAATTGGAAGAAGATATTTGCAAACCATACTTCTGATAAGGGCTTAATCTCCAAAATATATAAAGAACTCATGCATCTCAACAACAAAAAAATCTAACAACCCAATTAAAAAATGGGCAAAAGACCTGAACAGACATTTCTCCAAAGAAGATATACAGATGGCCAACAGACACATGAAAAATGTTCAACATCATTAACTATCAGGGAAATGCAAATCAAAACTACAATGAGATATCACTTCACACCTGTCAGAATGGCTATAATTAACAAGACAGGAAACAACAAGTGTTGGAGAGGATGTGGAGGGAAGGGAACTCTCATACACTGCTGGTGGGAGTGCAAACTGGTGCAGCCACTATGGAAAACAGTATGGAGATTCCTCAAAAAGTTAAGGATAGAACTACCATACGATCCAGCTATTCCACTGCTGGGTATTTATCCAAAGAATGTGGAAATACCAATGTATAAAGATGCATGCACCCCTGTGTTCATTGCAGCATTATTCACAATAGCCAAGACTTGGAAGCAACCTAAGTGCCCATCAAGGGATGAATGGATAAAGAAGATGTGGTATACATACACAAAGGAATACTACTCAGCCATAAGAAATGATGAAATCCAGCCATTTGTGACAACATGGATGGACATTGAGGGTATTATGCAAAGTGAAATAAGTCAGAGGGAGAAGGTCATATACCGTATGATGTCACTCTTTAAGTAATAGATAATGACAACAACAAACACATAGAGACAGAGATTGGACTGGTGGTTACCAGAGGGGAAGGGGGGAGGGAGGAGGGCGAAAGGGATGATTAGGCACATGTATGTTGTGATGGATTGTAATTAGTATTTGGGTGGTGAACATGAGAACATGATGTAATCCATGCGGAAATAGAAGTATAATGATGTACACCTGAAATTTATACAATGTTATAAACCAATGTTACCGCAATAAACAAAAAAATAAAAGATCACACAGCAAACAAGTGAGGGAGCTGGAATTCCACGTGAGAAACTGAATATCATACCCACAGTTTAGAAGAGGAAGTATGGAATTTTCCTTCTGCCTGGTGGAGCTGCTGGTTGTTGCATACAACAAACCAAGAACTTTTGAAGAACAGTTGGAGGCCTCTAATGTGTTTAATTAAGCATTTTTTTTTTCTGTTTGCCCAAAGTACTACATGCCTAAAGCAATTATATCGCTTATTCCCCTCCAGCCTTGAGCTCTAAAATAATCAAGGGCCAAAAGGGAGGTTGGAACTTATTAGAAAAAATAAGGTAAACCACTCAGGGTTCTGGAATGCCTAACTGTTGACAATTCTGTCAGTCGACCCAGAGGCCCTTTAACCAACTGAGATTCAGGTGCTGTCTTTAGCACAGCCGCCAAATCCAGCAGTGCTGAGGGGTGTTTTATGCCAGAGTAAGCAGGTCCAGCCTCCCTGGCCTTGCCACCGAGGGGCAGCCTTTGCAGAATTCTCACCACAAAATTCCAGAGGAAGCTCTGCAGACATCCCATCCCGTGGACTCCTTTGCTGTACCTGGACAGGGACATCCCTAAGCCATAGTCAGGCCACCAAAGGGCTCTCAGTGTTTTGAGAAAGGAAAGCTTCTTTATAGGCTCCTGGTTTACCTACATCCTTCTGCCTCCTTGCAGTTCCAAGCGTATTTTGGAGGGAGATTTCCTCAAGATTTCTAAATTGAGTTAGAATGTCAAGTCTATTGTGACATGCAAATTAGCCCTGCTTGCCCGTTGGCAGCAATGCAGCTGAAGTGCCTAGAGACGGGCCATAAAATGGAAACATCAAAGTGATTAAATGTGCCCGAAAAGCATAATTGAGTGCATGAATAAGAGAAAATAAAACAAATTGATTTTCTCCAGTGCCAGAAAAACAGAATAATTGAGAACAAAATAATAGACTTTGAAGTAATCAAAGTGAGGAATGCACCATAGTGACATAGAAACAGCCAGTTGTGGGAGAGATTTATTGTGTTTCTGTTATCATTTTTACAACTTTAATTTCATTAGCTAATAAATACAAATCAATTGAAAAATCAGTCAACCAGAGAGGAGGCAGTCCCAAGCCGAGATTTTTATTCACATCTCTAACACAGGCTGAGGCGGTGATCCTTAATCTATTTTCTTAGGCACACATATCCCCCGTGAACTGGAAAACAAGTGCTGGGAGACCTCTCTGCTTTGGAGGTGATGAAGTTCTCTTCTGCCAGTCACTTTCCACATATAGGTTTACAGATTCAACTTTCAAAAGGGTCGCTTTTATACCCCGCCAAGGTTTCCAACACATAGAATTGCCTGAGTGCAGCGTCTTGGTTTACAAAGATGACGTTTTCATGGCACTGACCAGCACCTATGGTCTTACGCTGGGTCATTCTGAATTCATGTGGTGGTGGCAGCGGCAGCTACGGCAGCAGCAACAGAAGGAGCACCTGCCCCTCTTGCAATACTGCTGAGCATCTGTGGCTCACTGCTTCTATCATCATCCCCCACCCCTGCCACACACATGCACACACACAAGTGACACTGAAATCTAAAACCAAGAGGGCCAAGCAAGAGTATGCTACCCCTTTGGCTTCCAGCCTAGCGGTCATGATGCTGGGGAGGATCAGGGGAGGGGAGCGAGGCTGGGAGACTCCTCGTGCTGAGTGTAGCAGTAGCGCACTGGGGACATCGAGCTATGCTGGGACCAGGTGCTGGAAGATCACAGAGCAAAATAAGACCACTGCAGAACTATTTTTATGGCTCTTCCAAGGAAAGAATCCCTCCACCCCGCTCCTCAGCTGTTCACTGCTGGGCTCCGTGGCCCTTCACTTCAGCATCCGCAGTGATGGGACTCCAATTGCGGTTTTTCCTTTCACAGGCCCTTGAGCTACTCTGGCAGCTGTTGACACTTCCAGATGTTCATGACACACCCTACCTTCAGGGCTCCACAGTTAGAGGCCATGCCTTTGGCTCTAGTAGAGGTCTTTGGGGCCATTGGGACTACAAACCAGGGTGTGCAGGAGGAGTTGGCAGTGCTGAGACGGGCAC